TTGTTCCTTGTTTACTTGGTAGTAAACTGAATTTGTTGCAGGATTTGTCAAGACGGCAGCGCGGGTCACAACAGGTCAATAAACCGCATGTGTGTGACACTTTTCAGGTTTTGTTGACCCCTTAGGGCACTTTTCAGGACAAACCACAGCGAGTCTGTTTACAGCAAGGGCCTCACTTTGTCGCACCCTGATGGGCACATCTGTGGGGATGTGAGCTTCTCAAGGGTAAACAAATGTTTGACTTCCTGAGCCGTGGCTGCAGAGAAGCTCACCTCTGTGCCATCCTGAGGCTTTCTGCAGGAGATGCTTTTAATTTTTAAGTTCTGTGCATTTGGACACTATTTTTTATGACACTGAGTGCAACGTTGKATGAATCTGTTGCTTTGCAGACAGTAAAATATTTCAAATGAGACCTATAAAAGAGTTCAATAATGCAAAAAAATAATAAAAGAATAATAACTTTTATTCTTTAAAATGTTGACATTAAATGTGATGCAGACAGAGTGTATTTGTTCACTTTCTTTATATGAGAAGGTAAGGATAAACAGAATTTTTCTAAATGTATTTTTATTCTTTTTGAAATCATTTGATGATCAGTTTAAAAGTTGTTCAAGACTTATTTTATATAAAAACAACATGCTCTTAGATCACAACAAAAAGCAAATGAGATGCTGTTATGCTTTGATGGAGTTTTAAAAGACTGAACTGTATTTAATATCCCATCACTGCTTCTCTTCCCCTCAAAGGAAGGAAGACTTGACCTGTGCAGCAACTCCAAAGTTTAAGTTGAGTATTACGGCAAAACAAGCAGCTGATGGGAGACACATTAAAAGTACTTTTAACTCAAGCAGTCATGCTGCACATCCTCAGTTGGTTTCCATTTATTTATATTTTAGATGTGAACCCATGCAGATCTGTGAATAATTGAACAGTTTGTCTAATAAATACTCTTCTAAATGGAAATGGACTGTACTTATCTAGCACCTTTCTATCCAACCAGGACACTTAAAGCACTTCTCRCTGTGCCCTCATTTACCCACTCACACACACATTCACACAGCATCGCTCCACAAAGTTAATACAGGTAAATCAATCTATAGAGACTCATCAGGGCTTTAAATCACATTCACRCACTGATGGGACACACAGGGACACTTCAACACGCATCAAAATAGTGAGGAATCGAACTGCCAACTCTTGCATTAGAGGAAGGACTGCCCTAACCATTCAGTCACAGCCTTCTCCCTTCAGTTGTGCCTTCGGCAGGTTGAACAGCAGGAAGCTCAATACTGACATCATGTGGAGACYTTAAGGTACTGCAGAAATTCTGCTCATTTATGTCCTGTTTGGTGAATGATTAAATTTTGGTCTAAAATGTTAAAATCAAAATCTCACCTGGATGTCATTAATCAGAGGCAGGTCGAAGGGCCAAACATTTCTTTCCACCTGCAATAAGACTTAAAATTTTGACAGGACGTAAGTGTCCTAYAAGTACATTTGATTGAAGTTCTACACAACAAAATCAGATAATCATGTCACAATTTCATGTTTTAGCTTCTGCATCCCATTTAAATCTGCCCAGCCAAACTTTTTTAAAGCACTTTGTATCACCTTGCTGCATAAAAGTGCTATATAAATAAATTTTACCTTACCTACCTTACATTTTGGTGGTCTTTCGTCATTTTTAGCATTAAAAGCCTAGTTTATTTTCCCATGTGGTAGTTGGAACAGCCCCCCCCCGATCTGAACTCGAGTGGTGTTCTGTTGTTGGACTTCTGTGCTCGTCAAGGATTGTCCATCACAAACACCATGTTCAGGCATAAGGGTGTCCATATRTGCACTTGGCACCAGGACACCCTAGGCCGCAGTTCGATGATCGATTTTGTCGTCGTTTCATCGGATCTGCGACCGTATGTCTTGGMCACTCGGGTGAAGAGAGGGGCGGAGCTGTCAATTGACCACTACCTGGTGGTGAGTTGGCTCCGGTGGTGGGGGAGGAAGCCGGTCAGACCTGGCAGGCCCAAACGTGTAGTGAGGGTCTGCTGGGAACGTCTGGCGGAGTCCCCTGTGAGACGGAGCTTCAACTCCCATCTCCGGCAGAACTTCGAACACGTTCTGGGGGAGGTGAGGCGGGGGACATTGAGTCTGAATGGACCATGTTCCGTACCTCCATTGGCGAGGCGGCTTATCGGAGCTGCGGCCGCAAGGTTGTCGGTGCCTGTCGCGGCGGCAACACTCGAACCCGTTGGTGGACAC